AAATATTTTTTAGAAAAAATGCTTTTTGTCTCTGCTGTCAGCATTACTGGACACATATGGTTAAGGCATGCGATTTCAAGATATTGTATCTTTTGCTAAATTGGCGAAATTTTTTCGGTCGCACCTGCAACAAAACATCGCATGTCGAACTGTAGCCATATGTGTTTTAGTGTTTCATTATTAAGATGGAAGCAACAAGAAGAAAGGAATGGAGAAGATAACACGAGAGTTAAGTCGAAGTCGAAAGTGCATTGATTATTTAGATAACAAATTTTCTTGTGCTTATCTGACTGCACTATTTGAACATTATTTACTAATTAAAAGATTCACATATGTGTGTATTCTTTCAATAAAATTATGAGGATTTTGTTTTAATCAATAATGAGTAAACTCTTTTCTCATAATATGAACTTTAATTTCTAAATTATTCAATATAAACAATTTAAATTAATGATAAAAATAATTTAATGAATATGCTTAATATCTATAATCAAAATGACGCGTTGTATTTTAGATGTTTAGGCATAGATATTTTGTACTTTAATGGCTAAAACTATTTGTTAATTTAGAGTATATAAAAATTGAAAAGAAAATTAGAACTTTTAATAATTAATGAGTTTCTACGAAATGATATGTCAGTCTCATACATATTGGATATAGTAATGCATATATAAATAATGCATGAAGAAACTGTGAAAATATAAAAATACTTTTGTCTTCGTAAGTAATAAAAAATTTCCAGGATTCCATATGATGAAAAATTTGCAGGATTTCCGTACGATGAGAAGTTTGCGAGATTCCTGCGATGGAAATTTCCAGAATTCCATGTGATTTTCGTAGATAATTCAGAATGATGTTTTTCATAATTACACATAATTATTTGCAAGAAAATATTAAAGAAAAAAGAAAAAAAAAGATAATTTTTTGACTGCTTATATTTTTGTGTAATTGCAAGATTATGAATTGCGTCGCGCGCGTATATTTTTCTTTCATTTAAATAATTCAACTTTTTTTTAAGTTTTCATCGAAGGCGAGAATTTATTCTTGGAACACTTATCCAGCGGACATCGCAAAACATGTAGATCGTGCAAAATCTTATCATTGCGCGCAATCAACAAATTAATGCCACTCCTATTATATGCGTCAAGTATTACGTTATGCACGAATTATCTGATAAATATGCCGATGAAAAAATATTAAGTTTTAAATGAAGTTTTATTATTGTTCTATTTGTGACTTTATATCTATTATATGGATAGTAATAATATGTATTATACGAATATTTGTTATACGAATATCTACATGTATTTCATACGGTTGTAATCGCATATATAAAATTTGATGATCGATGATGCATAGCGACATATGCATATCTAAAATATTCTAAATAATTTTCCATTTTGTTTCTGCATAATACGATAATATTTCTGCTTAAATACTTTTTATTTATATATTTTTATATTTTGTAAAACGGAAGCAGACTATTCTTCTTCTCCATGACTATTCTTAATATAAATGTAGGTGAAATTAAGATGATTCATTTATTTATTTGCTTACGTATGCGACGTGTTGTAATTACATACAGTTATATTATCGAGACATCAACATGTTATGAAGACGATAAAAAAAATTTAATGAATGCATAATGATATGTTTTGCAGATTTTTTAAAATTGAAATATAATATCTAGAATTTCATGCGCATTTGATAATTTTAAAAATTGTATTCAATATCTAAGTATTATGCTAATTAAAATGCGGAAAAAAATCATATTTAAAATTTTTCTTTATTCTATTGAATTATTCTCACAATTAGCATTGGTTGCTATTGTGCGATATTAAAAGAATTTAATTAATTATGACATAATCAAGAAATGTTTTGAAAACAATTCAACACGGTAAATGTTTACTTTGAGGAATGCTTCTTTGATGATATTAATCTTGATGTTATCAAAATCATGATCTGAGTGACTTCTAACAGATTTTAGCCATCGCTCGGTATTCGTTAAAAAGTTATTAACAATCAAAGTTCGTAATTATTTCTCAGCTTTGTACATGGAAATTAGATGATTCTAGGAAGGAGACCGACTAGATAAATATGACTTTGGGTACGATCAACGCGATGCTGTAAACGCTTTGAAGCATTTTTTAATTGATCAGTTTATAAAATTTTTTCTTCTAATTAGTCCATCAAATGCTTCAAAGCATTTGTAGCGAGATTTTTTTTTTTACAATCTTTCTAAGCAAAATGAGATCCACTTCACCTCCCTCCCTGCCTAGCCTGTACGATTTTCCATACGAACCAAAGTTCACCTCTTCCTTTGCCTAGGGGCGTAACTTTTGCGGGAGGATTGTTTCGGTATTGGGAAAGGTGGGGTAGATCTCGCTTTTCACACACATACACATATGTAGAAAGTCTTATGCCCTGAGACAGGAAGGGATTATAAGACCTGCTTTCCCTGCAAAGAAAATAGGATCCTTGGGTCTTTTGAAATTCAAGGCCCTGTGATTCGTCCATGCGAATCTGTATGGCCTAGATGAGAAAAGAAGGAAGGGAAATGGGGATCTTGTTTTGAAAGTCATTAAATAAACAGAGAAGAGAGATATGATGAGAGAGATGATATTCTTCCTAAATATTGAAAATAAGATGTTAAACATATTTTTTTTAGAAATTACAACATATATTATCAAAAGAGCATTCCCTAAAGTGAACATTTATCTTAAACACTTTATTTCTCATTTTATATTTTTGCATTTTATATTTTTTACGATTTTTGAATTACTTAATTATTAATTAGCACAACTCAATCTTGTAACAATGATAAAATAAATAGCAATAATAAAATAAACTTCGTCTTTTTTTAAATATTAAGGCTGTAATTAAATGCGTTTTATTATTTCATTTATATTTTAACAGTGTCGAAATTTCATTACTAATCTCGTACTTTTTTCAAATTCTTTCACCTTTCGATGATACAGTGGAAGGATAGCGGCAACAGATAGTGGGGGGTTAAAGAAAAGAAAATTTGCACCACTCTTGACTTTTCAAGGGTTGTCCTTTCAGGCCCATAGGTTCAGCTTAGGTATAGACTTATTTAGGACCGCCCATAGATTCACAAAACTGCAAGTTTAAAATTAGTTCGAAATTAGTTTCTATCCGAATTTCAAAGCGAATAGAACTATTAGCACGAGCAGAACATTTCGATAGTGTCGAGTATATTACGCGAGTATATTAAACATGGAATACATTTGTCAGCATGGCGCATACCATTTTTTATATTTTGGAGTTCCAAGTGTGCTCGCGACGGATCCGCGGTTTTCGAACATTACACCATTTTGGTATTGCACCAAAATTCCTGAATTCGAACAAAAAGTTGCCGATGTACGTGATGTGCCATATGTACCTGTGGATATGAATGTAGTGAATTATGTCTTCGACGCATATAATACATACGCCAATAACAGTAAATATACTATTTTTTATTATATATATTTTTTTAATTTTACTCGTGTCTTGTATAAAAATATACTATCTAAATATAAATTGTTGATTTTATTTAAACTCGTATATTTAAAAAACTACTACTTAAAAATTTACACAGTACTTTTTTATTTAATTTTTGAGAATTTTTTTAGTATTTTGATTCGTGAATTTCAGGATACTCTGTAGAGTGAAAAAAGATATAAACCCTATTCTAAGTATTTATTTCAATATTCGAGCGAGTAATGATTAAGTAACATTCAATTATCATAAAATCTGAATTTATTTAAAATATATATGTAAATATATATGTAATATTTTTTTTTTCAAAATGCGTGCGTGTATTGCGTATTTGCAGATGTTTGATAAGTGCAGTTGATAGGTGTTTTTATAACGTCTGTTTATTTCGCCCAATAATTTAGTGTTACTGGCTCATACTTTATTTTTAATAAAAATATTTTTTTTAATTAAATCTCTATACATATTGGTTATTGCGAAGAATTATTGCTAAGGTCTCGATAGTCTAAAGGCTCAGGACGCTCGCACGGAATGCAAGAGATCCGGATTCGACTTCCGGCCGAGGCAATATTTTTCGCAATAAGTTTATTAAAGTTTTTTTTAAGATTAATTTGGGAAATTTGGGGGGATTATTAATATTTCAGATCAATTGCGTTTAATGCCGACAACCATATCGGCACATAATTATCACACACACGCACATATCTGAAATTAATTCATTTGTTTGAAAATATATATATTAGTTCAACATCTCAATACTCAGACCGTAGTGGCGCTTCGAATTTTAAAATAATGTTATTTAACATGAACGGTCTTGTTTCCTATCTTATTGCTTTTTAATTAATTAAATAAAATAATATTTGTGGCTCCACAATAAAACCAATAGATAAAATACCTGTGTGAGCTTCCGTCTTTATTAATGTGTAAATTATTATATATTCGATAAAATACAAATCGCAATTATAATGTATTTACTAATTAATACTTACTAAATGAAATTAAAAGTAAAATATAAATTCGTATACGTTTTGACGCTGCATTTAAGTCTTCTTTAATACATAATTAGTGTACAAACTCAAGTACGAACTCCAGTTTGTACTCAATTTTATTAATCATCTCATTGAAAAGGATTCATTCTGATTTGAAACGTCTGCGGGTTTACATTTTATTTTTAACTTTGTTTAATAAGTATATTCTAATTGCTTATGAATTATATATTTTATCGCTAATGAATGTTTAATTTATACATCAACAACCGCGGAGATTATTACCATATTTTTTTTTATTGAAATAATTTTTTATTGCTTATTATTCCAATATGTTTAGATAATATTTTGTTTGCTTTTGCTTCACATGTATGAAGAGTTCAAATAGATCTTGGAAGTTCCGACGGAAATTCCGACGGAGATTCCGACTTCGAATTGCGAGATTCATTCGCTTAGATTTTGGGTTTCAATCTCGTTTAGAATATTAATCGCTTTGTTGCATTTTATGTGTTATAGCGTATTACAGTAATGAATCCGTTCCAACATCGCACATGTATATATCATCACCACCACCAGTACCAATGCAGCCCCGCGAGGGTAATAAACGCGCGAAAAACAATAAGAAACGTCAAGCCCAGCAAGAACGAGTTCACCCTTGGATGATAGGTACGCTAAAGGGACATACTGGCCTGGTAAACGACATGGACTTTTCCAGCAATGGCAGATATCTCGCGAGTTGTGCCGATGGTATGTACTAAAAAAAAAATTAATAAAAAGAAATATTTACTCTCCTCGATTGCGTAACTCTAATCGGTGATATAATATACTATGGAAGTATATTATAAAAAATTATTTGCGTCGTTTATGACATCATTCAAACCTAATAAGAATTCGTTTCGAGAGAATTTATCTTACTTTTAGAGTTTACATTAATAATTTTAGTTTTTTGAATATTGAATGTTGATAAATGTCAAATGTTGTTTTTCGATTTAAAAACAGATAATAAAATTTTATTTTTTTTTATTACGTGATTTTTTTCTAATGCTAATAAAAATTTAATTCATAATTTTTGTTATTTATATTATTAATTTGATAATAATAATTGTTTCGCGATTTTATCAAAGAACTTATGTTTTAATTTAATTTAATTATTCTAAAAATTACATTATTATCACAAGTTTAAATGTAAAAAATTTTTAATATACACTGTAAATAAGTATGTAAAATTACATACATAACACGCGTAAAAATTATACAATTTGTAATGGAAATGTATAAAATTGTACATTTTTACAAAAATTAGTACTTTTACCTCTAATTATGTAAATTATGTCTTTATATTATATAGAAAATTTTTTTTGCAATAATTGTATATTTTATAGTTTCTATGTAAATATATAAATTTTTCTAATATTATATAACATAATGATAATATATCACATATTGCATTTTTGTTCATACATATCAATACATAGTTTAAGAAAAATTGTACGTAATTCATTGTGTAAATATATACCTTTAATAGCAGATGCCAAAATTATCCGCTATAATTGTAATTTTACATATAATTTACAGTGTTTGGAAGGTCATAATTATGGACAAGTGTTACCATAAGAGTTACGTTATAACGGGAGAAAACTTTTTTCTATTTTTAATACATTTCGATCTGTTAATATAATATAATGATCCACACGACGCGAAGACACAATAAATTGATCGGTTAAACTTGCAAATCGGATAATGTATTTTTTATACGTTATGTCGCGCGGGAATTATTCATGCATATTGTGTATGTAGATAACTCGCTCGTATGTAGATACTAGCGGCATAGTATCGCCTTTCTCTTTCTTTCTTTCTTAGCTGATTTTCCATTTTGCAAGCCGCATTTTCCATCACAAGCTTCCCGCAATTTAGAATCGATAAAGTCTAAACTTCGTGTACATGTCACTCGTATAAAAAAAAATTTTTTTTGCAAATTAGCTCGACCATTTCTTTTTATTTGTAAACAAATAGTCTGTTTACAAGAGAATACTGTGCATCTTTAATCAATACTGATGTATTGATAATATCTAATAATCCTGATGTTTTGTAAGAGATTAAACATGAACATTTTATCTATATGAACTGACAATTGTAAGTCTGGGCAATATAAATAGCCGAAATATATTTTGCAATAAATTATGAAGTTTCGAGTTAGATACCATGCCGCTAAATAAGTAAATAGGAAAACAATTCTGCAAATATCGTGAATAACATATTGTAGAGAAAATATAATAAAAATGCCCAGATATCAGATTGATTAGGCATTATTAGATAAGAATGTTAATCTTGTTAAATCGCGATAGATGGATTTCATCTGGCACATCAGGGAGAAAACAGATTATTACGTTTTCAGTGGGTCATCGAAATTTGCAAAATGCAGTATGCAAAATTTCGTACTGATGCAAAATACAGTGTGCAAAATTTCATTATTTTTATAATACATGTTGTAATTTTCTATCTTCTAAAGCGGTCAACTTTGATAAGATAAGGGACAAAGCGCACACAAAACTTTCATAATCCTATTGGCGAGATTTGTTTCGCTCTTTGACAATTCTAAATTGATTTTTTTCTAAATTAACCGTTGGAACTTTCTGCACGATATTTCGCGTCGACCATCCTCTTCTTGCCGCTCAACAATTTTGTGCATAAATATGACATATAGTAAGTTGTGCATAAATATATAGCATGCGACCGGTGCGACCTTAGCAATCGTACTGAATAAATTTCGATGATTTGATAGAAATCGATCTCATATGTATGGATCGCCTCTTAAAGACAGAATATCATACGTCTTAATCATATACATTAATCATGCGCCTTAATCGTGCGATATTGTCGTCTGACAGTTCATTGTCAAAGCATGAAAGGTAAAGAGGTGACAGTAAGTATAATATTTAACATGAAAATCAGGTCAAAAGTTGTATTTAATGCCGACCATTGTTCTAAATAATTTAAATAATATTAGCTAATTAACGTTGACAGACACGCGAATAAATTGGGATTTCGTTTTAGACATAAAATTTATTTAATCTTTAAGTAGTGGATGCTCAGATTATCCCAAACAAATTTTATCTTTATAATTTTTAATAATATGTACAAAGTTAAATTTACATTATTTTATTATATTTTTATGAGACAGAGAAATATAAAAATAATAAATTTTAAGATTTCTGAACAATATTTTTTAATTTTCCTTTTTCAGAATACAAGATTTTTAAAATAACTTTATGTGGGGTGCTGTTGCTACCTATAATACATACTTGAAGGTTAATAGGTTGACGCAAAATTTGATTTGATTACGTAAAAGTAAAAAGAATGAAGTAATATTTGAATGCATGTTTATTACACATTTCTCGTTTATGTCATCGTTTCAGTGAATAAAATGCAAATAACGTATCGTATGATGAATATAAATTAATTAAATGAAGATAATCGGTTTTGATTAGTCAGGCACAATCCGGCATGAATATTAACACTACTAGATAAAATTACTTTACATAAGAAAGTATCATGATCATGTGGGCGTGAAATATTTGTGCCGTTTTTGTATTGTAAGAACAAAGTCTAAATAAAAATTGGGAGATTAGCTTTCGGGAAGATAATTTATTCCTAAGCAATTCCAGCAATGTCTTTATTAACGAAAATTATGAAACAAAAAACTTTTTATACATCGTTATTTATGTGACTACATTTTTATAATAATATTTCTTAATTTAGGAGGGTGTTGTTTAATATACCTAAATATGATTTAATATATCGTATCTCATACATACATTTTTTTTTATTATTGAACATACAATTATTAATAATAATGATGACAATTATTAATAATAAAAATATAAATAAATAAAAACACAAAAATTTCTAAATTATCTTATTTTGCGTACATTAAAAAAAAATCGGATACATTGATGCAATTTTTAATAATCAATTTATATAGTTGATAATAATCTAACAATGCATTTTATTCTGTAGTTTTATGATTTATCGTAGAATATATATTTATTTTATGTACATATTACAATTATTATAAAGTTTAGATCAATATATATATATATAATTTTTATAAAATTTATCATGTTACCTAAATCGTACCACCTGCATCGGTTTTGTTACGATTTGACAATTCATATTTATTTATTTACATATTATTTATTGTATTATTTATTATTTTATGATTATGTATTAATTATATACTTATAAAATAAATGTATCTGATAGAAAAACATTAATTGTCAAACCGTATCATTAATTATATTATTTTGTATTGGATATTTTTTGTGATCATTATTAATATTGTATATAAACCATTTCAATCCTATTTTTTATTGTTTTTATTCGCAAATATATCTTTTAAACGAGGATGTTTGAGAATTTACGATTTAGGAAACTGACTACTTAAATCGTATCTTTTACTACATCATAAAAGATCTATAACAAATTAATTGTTTATATAAAATTAAACAGTAGGTGTATTAAACATCCAGCAATTTCCAATATTAACTTGCTTGCAAATTAATATTTAATGAGAAATATTATGACATAAAATATAGTATGATTTTCAAACTCTCTGTATACGGTATTCATTAGCTACCTCTTAAAGTAAATATGTAATACATATTTATTAATTCTATTACTATATAATTTTACATTGATAATTTCCTTGCGATAGAAAATTCTAACGGAATACCTCGATTATATTATCCGGGATTATCCAGTTCCCAGACTCGTCGCTAAATACATCAATAGATACGCTCTAAATATACACGGAGCTAGATAACACCGAGTTACGCAATTAAATTAGTTACGTCAATAAATAATAATATAATAATCATACCGCATAATAAATCAGATTCTTAATCGAGTAATCAACAGCCATTAAATTATAGATAGCTACAAATTCTAACGGCTTGCCGTTAATTTATCTCGTAAGCACCGATCACAAGTCTCCCATTAGTCAGATTCCAATTTAAGCTCTTGAATACAGTTTGTCGGTCGGCGTCATTCATTTCATAATTCTGTTTGATGGAAATTATCGCGGGAATCCACGGATTCTCGTGGCTGCAACGACTTAGTCACGCTTCACCGGAAAGTAGTACCAGGTTTCCTCGAACGGACAAAAGAGAGAAAGAAGAGGAATGATTTTATTAAATGACGCAACGGTACATATTGAAACGTCGCCGTCATACCGCATTCCGTTACTTGAGCAACAAACGATTCCCTCTTATGTCCGCATCTTCCCTTCTACGTGCGTTCCCGCCTGTCTCTGTCTCGCCTTCCGTTGCTTTCGCGCGGGCCGCTCTTTCCCGTTTGGGCGCGCAGTTGGCTCGAATTCAATTATCGATATCCCGCTTCTGCGATGCCGGCGAAACTTTCGACGTGTTTCGGTGTTACTCCCATTAACAAGTCGCAATTTGCGTTTATTCTTTATCGGCACGTGGCTAGATTCGATTTCGCATGATTCGAATGACGTCTCCGAAGAGATACCTGCGGTGGAAGCTTACGAGTCGAAATCTTGAATTTTTTAACAATTTTGCGGAAAGGTCAAGTAAGTAAAAAATATATACTAATAGCGAGAAGTAAAAGAAGCTGAATTAATATACAGGATGTATTTATCGGGGCTTATTAACCATATCGCTGCATTTCTAAATAATTCAAATACGAGCAACGTTGCATCCAACTACCTGGTTTCCTGGAAAACTCGATAGTCTGGATATATTTTTAACAAAATCCCGAAAGATTGTTAAAAAACTTTAGGTTCAAATATCTCTTATTAGGTTAATGCGAGAGATTTGTCATATTTGTTAAAGTTGGAAGCATAATTTTAATATATTTTACTTAAAAAGCAAAACTATCGTGCCACGGGCTTCATTTTTATTCTTCATGCTCTTTTTTATTTATCTAGATAAAAGTTTTTACTTTTTTCAAATTTCGGTTTTTTAATTTATTTTGTTCTAATTTTACTTGGTACGAATTTTGATGGAAAAACCAAATCTCTAGCATCAACATAATATCTATTACTTTCTCCGCGAGGAACGTATCGCTTCTTGAACACTGACGGTGGATGTTTGATAAAATAGTTGAAAGATAATTTTTACATTTGGTAAAAGCTACAAAATAATATAATATAAATATAATCAAGCTATACAATAAATAAAATTAAAAATTAATAACAACATAATATAAATAAAATTAAAATTAAAACTTAAAAAACATAATTATCACATAAGTTTCACTTCATGCTTTTTTTCTTATTCATCTAGACAGAAATTTAACATTTATTTTCAATTTTCTAATTTCTTTTTCCTAACTAATTCTATTTGATATAAATCTTGATGAAAAAAAAAACACAGATTTTTAGCATCAACTTAATATCTATTACTTTCTCCGCGAGGAACGTATCGCTTTTTGTGCAATCACGTAGATGTTAATAAAATAATTTAAAGGTAATTTTTATATTCAGTATAGAAATAATATATAATTTTCATACAGGATGCATTAAATGTCTATTATTTTAAATATTATTGGTCATGCTATTTTTTAAGAACAAATATCTGGCATTTGCGAATAGGGGCACTTACGTCGTACACGCGTCTTTCGCGAGATGTTTCTCCTTCGGCCACTATACTTACGGACGACTGTATGCAACCGCGTTCTCGCTATTTTTATCTCGACCAGCGTCCGAACGCGCGAACGTCGCGCAAATTTATCGCGAGGACGTGACCGAGGCGGCTGACCGACAAAAAGTAATATACATTGTGTTCTTTTTTTTTTCCGTCGTTAACACAATTAGCGAAAGTAGCGTGTAAACGCTTCGTTGAGTTTACTTTTACATTTTACCGCCGTTATTTTTTATCTCGAAAGACAGCTTAATTATCCCTCTCGTGTGATGGATTGGTTCTCTCTTCTCTCCCGGTTAACAATCAGAGCGCGAAGTGACATTAGCGAAAATCATGATGGCGATAGAATGAAATAATCGCATCGAATTAGATATCCGTTCGAAGTGAGGTGATTGTTGAGAGGAATTTATAGAAGATCATTTCCTTCGTAAAGAAAGTTGACTCTCATTTGCGATAAAATATGGAGTGATTATAAAATGCTTGTACAGCTTTAAATTTTTATAACATCTGTTCTCTACAGATAAAATTGATCTGTAAAAAGAGTAAATAAATTTATTTCAATTTTATTTTCATTTATTCTTTGGATGTTATTTCTCAATCTATTGACGTACATATGGAGATAAATGAAGACTGAAGAATTTTTAAGATACACGCTTATACGCCTATAAATACGCTTTGCAGTTAATTTATAATAAATAATAAATTTCACATTATCTTTATCTACAAATCGTCTAAAAAGCAGTATTTTATTAAATACATGTGTTCTTGGCTCAAATTTCGTGATCGCGATTTTTGTTAAATTATAGTGAGATTAGTAGATTTTAACTTTGGAATGTTACTATAGGAAATTTTCTTCTAAATGCAAATTCATGTTTAATAATTCATGTTTAGATTTTATTAATTATATTTTGATAGTTTAAAATAACATTTAATAAGGTTGTTTAAAGTTTATTTTCTTTTACATTAAAATGTTAGTTCAGTTATTCTATATTTTGCAATCTATAAAGTAGAATAAAAAGTGTGAAATAAATTCTAATTATGTAAATGAATTTTCATCTAGAGTAGTATCAGTGTAAAAAAAATATAAGTAACATTATAGGATTAATGCATACTAAACTTCACTAAATCATTTTAATCTTTTTTCACAGATTAATTTTATTATATAGAATAAAAGAGTAATTATGATAGTTTAAAACTGCACAAGAATTTTATAAACACCTTTTATATATCTCACACAATCAGTGTAAAATTATTCGTTTGAAATTATATTTTTCTGACGGGATTCTTATCAGAGGAGATTTCAAAATTGCTTTAGGATAAAACAATACGAATATCGATTATTCATCGCTTCTTAGACTTATTGAAGCATATATAAATGCAGCTGTCATTATTCGAGTGAATGCTCTTTCAAGAAAAAAAGACCAATCCCCCTCACGCGGATATTTGTTCTCGAACGCATCATGCGTGCCTCCGCGGCATCATGCGTGTGTCGCGGATCATTCTTTTCCGCACGGAAGCTGGTGCGTAAATTCCGGATCCCCGCCGACGGTAATCCCCTCCGCTCGGGCGGAAATATCGTGACGCGTCATGCGTTTGCACAAGTAACGCGGGTGCGAATAAAAACGCGCCGCCGTGAAGACGCACCTCGCGGCGTTCTCGTCTTCCCGAAATTATTCACGAATACATATCATCGCGAAAGCAACAGTCGTCCGGATGTTTTTCCCTCGTTATGATCTGCCTACGAATCGCTGCATCTATGAATTGAGTGGCACAAAGTCACGAATGCCGCTGAACAACATACTCGACAACATACGGAAGTACGGCTGGCACGAATTACGTATGTGACGTTTCTTTTTTTTCTCTTCTTTCCTCTAATTTTCGGTGTTTTCCAGCAACACAGATGGACACAGTGTAACACCCGCACACACATAAAGAACTATTACATTACTGCGAATCCAAGTGTGTAAAAGTGGACTTCAGTACATGTTTTTCTCACGTAAAAATAACACGCTATGTTGCATACAAATATACATTTAAACGTACAAGGTATTTCGTACAAAGCATTTAAACGTGTAGTAATATCATTTTTCTACAGAAAACTAAATAGCATACATATATTGAAGTTAGTTTTAACACACGTGGGTTTGCAGTGATTATTGTTTATCAATATTGAACAAAGACGAAATGTAATTCACTGTGTTAGACTGTGACGTTCCGCAAAATGCATAAAGCGTGCGATATATTATTTTATCTTGTTTACCGAATGTTACGCGAGGCTAAAATGATCATCATGCGCATTATGCGTTTTACGGAACTAGAAGTGTGTCTCTTGCTAAGGAACACCTTTCATCCGACTTTATCTGGCCCTATATTTGTCCTATCTTTACCTTGCATATCTGTATCGAGCGTTCGTCTGTACTATTGCATTTGTTTCCGCGACCTTAAACAACAGAAGTCTAACAAGTGTGCTGTCGAGATGTCTGAAGATATCATCATTAATCCTTGAATTCCTGTCTTTTGTTCTCAATATTCCTTAGAATTGCACAAGTGTATTTCTGCATTTATTAAAAATTCAACAATTCTACTGTTTTTTACTAGCTCGTGCTCTTTTTCGTCTTTATATTATAACATACGTTCCGTGTTTTGTTTTCATCAGGCTGTCGCTATTGGCTCAAGTGAGAGTGATTTAATCGATTCTAAAGGATTTTTTATGAACGTGCTTTCGCTTTTATTCGCGCGACATTCTTCGGATAATTGCATATCCAACGTCTGTCTGTTTTCTGTCTGTACATCCACGTACAAAATGTGGCGAACGAAATTATGTCAACATTTATCGTTCCTGTCGGTGTAGTCAGAAGCTGAAAAAACAAGATAATTTTTGGGTCAAGAACACACGCAACGCGGCCGTCCGCAACACGTTTACGAAAAATTCACGGTCTTCTTCGTACATAAGCGAAAGCGTCTTCGTCACGATTTTAACGACAATGAAAGTATACATGTCGCGCGGATTATCGTAAAATTGACACGTGAATAAATTTCGCTTATCTGTCTTATCGTCTCGTCTTAAAAGGAATGAAACGGTATCTCTTTAAACGCGATCTATCGGTTTTAATCTCTCTCAGAATCAATCTTGCAGGAGTTCGTTGAACTAGACACTAAGACACTCGCTTATCTTTGCTTATCTTTTCGCATTGTATATCATTTGTACTGTACCGAATATTAATAGAGATTTCTTCATTAATTAGAATAATTAAAGAAAGAAAGAAAGAAAGAAAGAGAAAGGTAGAAGAATCAAATCTGCATGCGTGTGTCGTGTGTGTGTGGACATCTTTAGCAATGTAGACTGCGGAGTAATTTACGTATATTTGTTTGTTCCTATGAAATAAAGATGAGAGCTTGCGAGAGACGAGAAAGCATGTCCAGTCTTCCGGGCATACGTATAAGAAAAAAGAATTCAAGAAGAAGACTTCGTCACTGCAGACGGACTGCAGAGAATCGCAAAGTTTCACACGTCGTGAGGATAAAGAAACAGGAAAACCGTCCAGGAGCAGGACTCGGGGATCTTCACTGTTTTCTTTCCAACACATCGGTAAAGCATCGGAGGAGCCTTCACCGCTCGAGGTGTTTACCAGCGACACTTCCAGCAATGATGACATCCCGGACGAGAGCCAGCAGCAGATGATGTTCCTGAACGATGCTACCTGCCTGGCTTCCACGATCAACAAATATATATTGTCACCGAAGGAATTGTTTGAACATGGTTATCCCATCGAGTCGACTCTCTTTCCGGGTTACGCGATGATAAACAATATATCATATCCATCAGGTCCCAAGATTGAGAGTGACAGTGGCCAATATACCAATTCCAGCTCGTCCGACAATTCCGAGCAGGAAAGCTCGTCCGATAACGAGAAGAACTTCGACAAAGAAAATAGTTCCGATAAACAGAAGAATCGAGACGAGAAAAACTGCTCCGAAAACAAGAAAGGATGCGATAGCGAGAGCAATTCGGATAGTGAGAAAAGTATTTCGGATGACAAGAAGAACTCCGAAAACGAAAAAAGCTGCGATAGTGGGAGCCATTCCGACAGAGAGACTAGTCCGGGCAATCAGAGCTCCGAACACAGGAAGAGCTGCGACAGAGATGGCAGTTTGGACATCAAGAAGAGCACCCAAGATGAGGATTGTTCTACCAACAAGAGACTGGAAAAAACAGGCTGTGAAAACGAGAATAATTCGGCCAACAGGAAAAGTCGAGAGGAAAAGAAAGAATCAGGCGCAAGCGGTAATACAGGGTTGTTGGAGAGAACATGCGTCAGATGCTACAAGGTATTCTATGCCGATCAGAATGGCGAGTATCTGAACGCGGAACGTTGCGTTTACCACTGTGGCAAAATGTACAACCGCATGACCAACGACAGCTGGTATTGGACGTGCTGCAACCAAGCCAGATTCTCGCGCGGTTGTGCCGAGTGGAAGACGCATGTATGGACTGGCCTGGTTCCTGGGATCAATGGGCCCTTCGCAGGATATGTGCACACTATGCCGTCTCCAATGTTCCTACACGATAACAACTACGGCATATACGCGATGGATTGTGAGATGTGCTACACACTGCAGGGTCTGGAACTCGTTAGAGTGAGTCTCGTCGACTTGTACGGCCAGGTCGTGTATGACACGCTCGTCAAGCCGAGCGCTGAGATCATCGACTTCAACACGAAGTTCAGCGGCATCACGGAAGATGACATGTCTAACATCACCAAGACTCTTCCGGAGGTGCAGAACGACCTGCTCAATTTCATTCACGCCGAGACGATTCTAATGGGCCACAGTCTCGGGAACGACCTCAAAGCGCTGCGTCTGATCCACAAGAACGTCGTCGATACCAGTGCGATGTTCCCGCATTACCTCGGCTTGCCATATCGTAACGGTCTCAAGACTCTGGCGCGGAAAGTGCTCAACCAGAAAATACAGGAAGAGACACATAACTCCATTGAGGATGCCCGGGTCGTTATGGATCTAGTGCTGCGAAAGGCCCAATACGAGTGGCAGCAATCTCTTGTTTGGTAGATAAAATCTTAGATTAAATCGCCATCTCGAGAAAAGACTCATCTACGTGAACAAGAACTATTCGATAGTCTTGGCAGTAGTTCGCGGTGAGATAATGTCGCGACAGGAAGCGCGTGTTATTGAACTAATTTGTAAATATAAATCAGGAAGGACCGCGTTTTTTTTTCCTAGTGTTCGTTTCCAGGGGTGAAATCTGTGATATTACACATATAGTGCAATGCGTTCCTCACGTGCGTTCCTGCGTCCCCACGTTCGTCTCTGATGATAAGGGACGCGATTATTGTACTCACATATTATGCGCACACAATACATAACACAAACGTAACATACAGCGCGTAACATAATTGACAATCACGGAGAAATTTATAACAGACTACGCGCAGTCGAACATTTATCAGAGACTTTAAATCTATTTATTATCTTTCGTACTCTTTATACTTTTCATACTACTCTACTATGTACTACTCTATACTATCGCTAAATACTGCACTCTTTACTTGACTGCTATCGATCTGATATTACTTTAAAACTTTATCTTGAACTAATTTTACTTTCTAACTGAACGACGATCGGTTACTGATTGGACTCTTTATATTTCAAACATTAATTATGTTCGACTATTAATTTCTTTCGAATTTTATTTTTCTCCGATGTGCATTTTTATATATATATGTATTCGTATGTGTTTTGTATTGTATATACGTAATTTTCATAAGCGTTTTATATACTTTGTACATATATTATATATTGCATTATGGAGCGCAATTTTGTACTCGCAAAAATATGTATATTCGTGAAAATCTACGTATTTAACATGGATACGTATGTCTTCATTATTCGATATAACGTATCACTTTACCATCCTTTATCATGCATATTCCATCTTATCAGTCATATTTCATTCAATATCATCTTTTTTTCCCCCACGAAAAGAACGAGCGGCGTCATTGATGCTGGTTGGGTAAGTGCCTCTTGTTTCCACTGATCCGTATTTAAATTCCACCGAGAGGATCGTGGATTTTTCTTGAACGAGGTCATGACTATCCGTTAAAACGTGGCTCGCCAACTGAAAAGAATATAAGGAAAATACTCAACTCACGGATTTCGTAACTTAATTAATTTCAATTGATTTGTTGATTAATTTTATTCTCCGATTAAAATTGTCGTCATTCATTGCGTTTAATTGCATTGTTAAAAATTTATTAAAACTTATTGTTGAAAGTTAATGAGAAGGATAGTATTTCTCTTTATACAAAAATAAAGATATTCTTTCACATGTACGCGCATATTCGTGCGGTCGAATGGATTTCGACCAAATTGCATTCTTGTGCAAATAGACGCAGGAAGATACACGGAATTATATTATTACTGATATCCTGAGTGTTATCAGCCGCAAGGTTTTTTCTCTTTATACGTGCTACCAAGTGCGATGTTCCGACAAACAAAATTTGCGAGCCACGTACTGTTACGCATATCGGCCACGTGTATAATACACGCGGTTTGTTTTTTATCAGTTTTTGACGAAAACACGACGAGTCGTCATAACGATTGAGTGTATAATAATAGATATATATACGTATGTGAATAATACTCTCACGAGAGAGACTGCCAGCGCTTTTATATATCGACAATCTTCATACTGCATCGCTCACAATCATCCCGTTAAATAATCATGTAACGGCAGAATTGTCTGTTGCGATAACGAATGTAATATTTAAATGTAAATATCGCGCTTAAGTAATATGGAGAGACACAACGGATTTTGTAACGATAGTATTACCTTGTACAATATGTATTTATATATATTTTTCTATCCTCGCGTACCGTAATTTTATAACTCGTAATTTTATAAGTAGCATCAGCGATGAGTAAAATTTCTTTTGGCGTTTCGTTTTTTTTTAAATTTTAACGTGAAAATCGACTGTAAGACGAGTTTTGCGGTACTTTAAAACTAACGGTGGAGAAAACAAGCGGCTGGGAAGTCACACACAAGTGACATGGTGTGACACAATGGATCATTATATCCTTGTTGTTTGCCAATGTTAAACAAAGATGACATGATCACTGTGTCGCACCGTGTCACTTATTGGAAGGCACAGTAAGTTTTACTCATCGCCACCAGTCTTTTAAAGCTTGATGGACAATTAGCGACGTGGTTGAATAATGAAAAGTAAAGCAAGAAAGTACGAAGCGCACTCGAGCCAGCTGATTATGATCTCACTACAGATTCTGTAGAATCGTCTTATCACACAGGTCACGGTTCGATTCACGCTTAAGAATCATTTTATCTTTATTAATATTTGTCAAATGTTAGACAAAGACAAATGATGCTCATAAACGTTGTGAGTATGAATCGAATCGCGGTCACAATAACGCGGTCACAATAACGCGTTATGATACCAGTAATCCTGATATAGTCGCAATACTACAGTTTAATCCTGAAAGTCACAAGATTGCCAATTTGGTGAGGATCATAGCAGGGAACTCATTGGACACTCAATCTGTGGTCGAGAAATCTGATAATCTCAAATTTCAACGTTTGTTTCTTCCAGTGATATACATAAGAGTCTTAAAATAGCTCTTAAAATAGATCATCTTAAGACTTTCTCAGCTTCAAAACAACGAAAAGAGCTCGCATTTTGTTTGCAGGAGGAGTGTCCAACGAACATCCTGTTCAGGATAAAGACATTGTCATACAGCTTAGAACGTAAATATATGTTGATTATGAAATATATGTAGCATTGTTTCTGTGTGCTTTTATTTGGAATATCTTTCCCTCCGCTCCCAATAAATACCTCGGCTTACAAATTGTCTCTCGATATTAAAAGAATCGTCGTTTAAATTAGGAATCGGCAAATCTTTTCTGTAAACAACTAGATTATAATATCTATTAAAATAAATATCTTGATTCTCCATCTGCAATTTAAGTCCTTTTAGCATAAGTGAAATTTTTTATTTTATTCTCAAATTTATCTAAGATGAAAGAGGTCCGGTTCTTCCTCCTAAAATATCTTGTAATATTTATTTGAATAATGTAATATAGATGTCGAAATCTCTTTTTCTACATTTTTTTGAAATTCTAGAACAATAAAAAAAACTCGGATTGGATAAAAAAAGACCCAAATTGTAAGATGGAGGGAGTAAAAATATGATTGCAAGTAAAGAATTAATAAAAATTGAAATTTTTATAATATTTTAATTTAATTATATAATACTTTTTAATTAAAATAAAATATTTTAAGCTTTGAGACTTTAATTGTAAGAGGCTTTAAAATTAAAATTTTATTTAATCTTCACAAGACATATTGCAAGACATTATTTTTCTCTGATTTTTTTTAATTATTCAATTATTGAAGAATGTAAAAAGTATTCTTAGTTCGCGGAACCCAATTTGTTGATTCTTGGTCTAAACGCGAAAAATGGCGACTCGGCCTGATTCCAAGAAGGTTTTCTTTGTCTTTTTGTGCGAAGAAATCGCGGCGTCGCGTTGCGAATAAAATTGTTGGCAAGCGTTGGCTATAGAATTTTTTACGTGGAAAGTCGAAGGCCCTCTCCTTATTTCCATCTCATCCCGCGACATCATGATAACGCTTTTACAAGCCACGTGCACTGTCCTTTAAATAACGGCATGTTTTTCAAAAATGCGTTGCGAGACAAGGCTGCCTGTTCATTCTGAATAATGATATTCCTCAGTCTCGACGATGTTCACGGCTTCGCGGTATTAAATCTGACTCGTGCGTGTTCTCTTCGGAAGAAAAAAAAAAGATTAAAAAAAGGAGGAAGGACGAATAAAAAAGAATACATTGTCAACTGCACACTTAATTCTTGTCAGCTTGTTTATATCGAAAAAAAGTTATCAAAATTCGAATATCATCGACTCGAAGTTATTGCCTATTCGTGCCGAGACATTTGATCCAGCAAAAAATAAATAGCTTTACAACTATCGTAAAATAAAAAAAAAAGATTGGTTACATATTTGAATCTAGTGAGGATAGGATTATCAATCTTTCAAGAGTACATGTAGTCTTTTGAAGTCGTTAAACTTTTAATTATTGATTAAAATTTTATATTTATAAAATTATATTTATAAGATTATATTAATGAGAATTATCAATAAAAATTATGTTTTGGAAATTTTTTTTATTAAATATACCTTCCTTCCGTTCCATCTTTTTTTTTAAAAGTATACATAATATATTTTTTTCTTATGATATTTAGATATAGTAGAGGACATAAGTGAGGAATTAAAGGCAAGATCAATCATTAAAATATTTTACAATTGTAAAGTCATTTTTTTCTGAATTTTCAATTAAGCAGTCAATCTAGTTTATATCGACAATTGTAGACGACGAAATCTAGTAGGCAGGTAGGCATGCGATTGTGAATAGCAAGAATTTCAGTGACGTTCGTCCACGTGTCGAGTGGGCTTGGTGCGTAGTTAAAAAGCGTATTGTTGTTCTTTTCGTTGGTCAAAGTCCATAAACCGACTAGCTGTAAACATTGACACGCGCATTTCCGCTTTGCACGAGATATGTCGCGACGAGATATGGACTTCGACTACGTTGTTTTTTTTCCACGTTGCGTATTTTATCAGCCGTTGTGCCTAAAGCGCATGCTGCTAATGATCGGATTCGCGAGGTGCAATGTGCTCATTGATAAACACGTTGATGACTGTATCGCATTAGCACAGCTGCAACGCGTGATTTGCAATAAATTTTCACGTCGCCAATTCTTCCCATTGCTGTGTGCGCTTTGGCAAATATCCGTATCTTTCGACTATCAAGTCCGCTTCGATGTTTAGATTGTTAAGAACAAATGAGCTACAAACTACAAATGAAAATTAGTTGATATTTCCCGAGAGAATTGACAAAAATTAATTGAAAGAATTAATCTTTACAAAATGGAAAGTCATTGTAATGAAACAGGCGCTGAAATAGTGTATATATTTTGAATACAATAAATTATAATAAAGCCTAAGATACAAGACACATTTTTTTTGCTGGATTGTTTACATTTAATAAATTACTAGGATTGCTTGAATTATTTGCGTTTTAATAAATAATTAAATTAAATAGAATTGCACACAGAATGCAGAATTTTTAATAATTTATTATAATAAATTGAAAGTCAGTACGAAAAAATGCATCATGTGTCGTAGGCTTAAAACTTATTACAAGAAAAAGCTGTAAAATTTTTAAAATAGACCCTCCTGTCTTCTAAAGCAAGATTGCCGTAAATTTACCATCTTTAAATTCCTTACTGTTCTCTAATTTCTAGACAACATTTCATAATTTTCCTTGATCT